TCTCGACTTGGACTGTATCATCTCCGAGAACTTCTGGAACACTTCACTCATGAACCGGGGGTCTCTGTCGTGGCGTACCAGTGATGGAGCTCCAAACCTCCGGAACACGTTCTCTTCGAAGGCCTTCGCTACCTCAAGTGCCCCAGTCTCACTCATCGCCTTAGCAATCACGAACCCGGTGAAGTGGTCTTCAAACAACAGGAGTGCAGTATTGCCCCGCCGAGTCTTCGGCAGTGGTATGACAAAGTCCATCGATACCACGTGGAACGGTCGCTCGGACACCACGTTGCCGGGTGAATAGCCCTTCAGGTGTGGTTTGCTCTTACTGGTACTGCAGTCTTCGCGCGCTTGGACATGTTTGACCACGTCTGCGTACAACCCAATCCAGTAGTAGTCGGCTCTGACCCTGTGGTATGTCCGCACAATCCCTTGGTGGCCTCCCTCGATGGAGTTGTGGCAGTTCTGCAGGATCTCGTCTATCATGGTCGTCGGAACCACCAGTCGAAGGGATAAGCCTAGTTCGCCGAGTTCGCCAGGTGGTCTGGCCTTGCCTTGTCGGTACAATAGCCCGTCTTCGCTGAGCACAAACTCGTCGGCAACTTTCCCAGCGTTGTGAGCTCGGCGATGTGTGAGCTGCGCATAATCCCCTCTCAGGTAGGTCTTCAAGTCGACCCATCGTTGTTCCTCGTCTTGAGCTCTTGCTATTCGCAGGCGGCGCTCAGCTTGGACCACTACCGGATCGATGTCCATGGCGTTGGGCTCCCGGGCTTCTCCGAGCTCGACTACCAGCTCAGCTGGGCTAGCTGGTGGTGCTGCGCTACCGAACTCGGCTTCTACCGTCACCCGCTGTCTAGCAGGCGGAGGTCGGCTATCTCGTTCAAAGTCATTACGTTCGGCTTCCTCATCCGTAGTTGGGTCCGGGACTGGGTGTTCTGCCGCTTCGTCTTCGAAACGGACTCGGTGGACTTGACTCCTTGTCACGGCAGCCATCTCAACACACTCGGCCGGGGCTGCAGCCGAGTCCGTATCCACGTACAGGACCTCAGAGATCCTGTTTAGGGTCTTCAACTCGGCTTTCCGTCCGGCGCTTAGCACGACCTTTCCTGCTTTGGTTTCCAGTGCTTCGGTCGCTAAAGAGTCAGCAGCCGAGTTGTAGAGACGCACTACGTGGAGGTAGCGAGCTGAATTCAGCTTGCTGACCAATTTCTTGTGGCGTGCTAACTCGACTTGCAATGCCTCCTTCTTACACGCGATCACCCCCATGGATTGCTGGATCGCAAGCCGGGAGTCGCCCACGATGATCAAATCCGTCACTCCGCGCTCAATGGCCGAGGTCACCCCATTGTTCATGCCGGTGTACTCGGCTATATTCACCGTGGTCGATGGGAGGTGCGCGCTCGCAGCGATCTCAATGTTCCAGTCTGGCAAACGCCACAGGATCCAAGAACAACTCCCGAACCCGCCGTGTTTAGCAGTCTTCGCCGATCCGTCAAACGACAGGACGTGTCCCTTGAAGTCTCGGGGCACATGCGCATACAGTAATTCTGGGTCCATGCGGACCTCAGCCGAGTTCTTGGACGGCGAAGTGACATGCGTTAGTAGCTCGTTTAATCACACTGTCGGCGTGATGGACGCTTGGAGCAACTGGGCGAAATCCGTGTCCCGTTCGCGGACCGGTTGACCTTTTGGTGGAACGGTGATAGCAGTACCGCAAAGCTGACTGCTCTGCCGTGGAGAGACTTCGACTGGAACACCCATTCGAGAGTCGAGTAGCGGGTGTAAACATGGATGGTCTTCCCGGCGAGCAACGTGTGGTACACCTTGATGAGCTGTAGCAAGGCGAGAACTTCTTTCTCGGCGGGATGGTAGCCGAGTTCATTATCCTTGAGGACTCGGCCGCAGAACCGCACTGGATGGAGCTTCCCGTCGTGGAGCTGCATCAGCGTGCTACTCAGAGCCCACTCATTGGCGAACAGCATAACGTGGACGTCCTCAGCCGAGTTGAAGTGGCGGAGAATGGGTGCGTCGACCACCTGCTGTTTTAACTCGGCGAACGCCGCTTTTGCGGCCGTCAGATCACCGCCGGGTCCGAAATCTTCGTCCTTCAGCTGATAGAGGACAGCCCCATATACAGCCAGGTTCTGGACAAACCGGCCGTAGTAGTTCGGCGCTCCTAAGAATGCTTGCATCCCCTTCTTCGTCGTCGGGAACGGTAGCCCGGCTATCACCAGCATCTTTTCCTGGTCGGCTTGGATTTCAGCCGAGGTCACCCCATGTGACAGGAAATCGACTTTAAGTTGGACGAAGATGCTTTTCGGGAAGCTGACGCTGATGCGGCATTCAGTGAAGCGTTGCAGCAATCGGTCAAGCGTCCCCAAGCAATCGTCGAACGTCCTCCCACCGAAGCCGATATCGTCCACAAACGATCGCCGGTCGAAAACCGGTGCACGGCACGATTCATCAGGTTCACCCGTCCGGAACATGTCGGCTGCTGGGCTGTTAATGAATTCTTCCAATGGGTCAAACTCAGCTTGAGCTCGGCGGTCGGCCTCAAACTTGGTCTGGCCACTGGCTTCAAAGTCGATGTCGGCTGCGAGCCGTTTCCGCTGAGCTTCTGAGGCGGCTTCCGCTTGTTGGATGCGCTTGGCGAACACCTTCCAGCCGCCCTTGGGTTGTACGTAACCCCACAGAGCGTTATCAATACGGCGCTGGTAGATCATTGGGGCATTCTTTAATCCGAAGGCATCCGTAGCCACTCGAAGTGGCCAAGCGCGAAAACAAAAGCCGAGATCCAACGCGCCCGTCCGTCATCATAACCGTCCAGAGCATCCAAAGAGCAGAACCATAGGTACGCTTCCAACTCCGTGAGGAGATCGTCCACTAGCGGCATGGCATACTCCATGAGCAACGTAATCGCGTTTACCAGCTTGTAGTCGATACACAACCGAATGTCGACCCCATTCTTCTTTAGGACAATCACGATGGGTGATGCCCATGGGCTGTTCGAGAAGGCAATTAGCCGAGCCGTAACAGCGCCTTGAGCAGCTCGTAGAACTTGCCGAGATGCTTCAGCGGAACTCGGCGGGCTCGTTGGCGGATTGGCGGATGCCCCTGTACGTCGATGTCACACACTACGCCGTATGCTGGTGGAGGTAGGGCATTACCACTGGAGATCATGATCTTTTCATGGCTCTTCAATACTTCCACCAGCCGAGTAGACTGTGGCCGAGTGTGCGCCGAGCTCCGAACGTTTGGCGCTTCATAGTCGAGTGGCGTCGACACCGCTTCAGTCAGATCGGGCAGGAACGCCAACTCGCGAGCATAGTCTTCGAGCTCCAAGTTCGTTGCTTGGTGCTCGAACTCGGCTGAGTCTCTCGCCGAGTCGCCTCGGCCATCTGTCTCTTCCTCGTACTTGACTGCCAGAAGGTAACGTAAGCGCAGATCTTCCTCCGGGTCTGACGACATGGGCTCGTCGCTCACATCGACCTCATCTTCGAGCCTTGGACTCGGCGGCTTGGGCCCGGGGTCGTCGATGATCGTCTAGTCAGACAAATCGCTGGATTGCTCACTTTCACACTCATCTGCTGCACAGACGTTTTGGCTGGGCGCTTCTTGACCAGCCGTCACTGTGATCTCTTCTCGACTAGGCGGGCCATTGACCAAGTCAGCAGTAGGCTCCGCGCTCAATGCAAATTCCTCAGGCGCTAGGGTAGCGGTAGCCGAGTTCGCTGGCTCTGTCGGAATCGAGGGTGGACTATCGACTGCTTCTGCCTCAGCTCGCTCCTCCGACTCGGCTAACTTCTCCCATTGCTGGGCGCAAGTCAGTACCGAATCCCGCTGCTTGGTAGACGGCCACGTAGTCACCCCTTTCGGTTCAGGGTAGTTTCTACGGTCCACAGCTGACAGCTGTCGAGCCAGCCACTCGGCGTACAGCTGTTGTTCCTTTTGCAGCAGATCCTTATCCATAGCCGCTTCGTAGGCCATGACATGCCAATCTTTGTACTTCGCCGAGTGCAGTCTGACGTAACCATCGGGCGGTAACACCCCATGCGGCGCCCAGGCAACCACTGGGGAATGTGCTGGTCACCACGTCCAAGTCGGCTTAAGGTTGGTCAGGCGAACTCGAGCCACTCGGTTACGCCGGTCGAATACCACGGTCGGTACCCAGTCCTTAGTCCGGCGTACCCAGAAGTCGTGTGTTTCATCACTTGGTTGATTCCTCATCAGCCTGAACTCGGCGGGAACTCGGCTCTCGAGATTCACCGGTTCGGTCGGGCTGTCTGTGATGTAGGGGCCGCCCTTCGGTTCATCCGCTGAGTTCTGGGACCTCACGAGACGTAGGACAACTTCATCTGGCAACTTCGCCACCGAGTTGTACAGATCCAGGCGGATCCCAGCCGGAATCATGAAGTCCGTACCGAGAATCAACTCGACTCCCGCGTGGTGATCGAGGATCCATACTTCAAATTCAAACGTGACCTCCCAGCCGAGCGTCACCTTCACCATCGCTCGTGATATCGTAGCCAATTTGCCTTTCCCAATACCTTGAACGCCAATCTGTTGGTCCTGGCGTGTGAACCGCTTCAACCGCAGCCTCTTCGCGAACCCTTCGCTTATTGCCGACACATTCGCACCGGTGTCGAGCAATATCTTTGTACGCTGGTCGTTCACTGCTCCCATAACGAGAGCTCTCATCCGAACTCGGCGGTCAAACTTTTCTGACAACCACCAGTCGAGTCGCTCCCCAGGGAGCAGCTTCATAACTCTGGTGGCTGTGGTCACATCCGTCGATCGCAGAGTCGCAACTGCACTGCACAATCTTGCTCGGCTTTCTTCTCCACTCTCGCCGACCTCACCATCAAGTCCATCGCTTTCACAATCCAATATGTCTTCTTCTCCTCGGTCCTCGGGCCTTCCTGCCTCACCCACAAAGGCAAACACAAAGTTCGCCTCTACTGCTGGCTCAGCTGACTGTGGCAGCCCGGTATCATCTAACCCAGTCAGTGTTGGCGGGCCGCCGAGTTTAAATCACTCGGCGTGTAGAGGTCCTGGAGGTCTTCAGGTAACTTGGACTTGTCGACATTGGATTTGACAATTGCGGCGAGCTTCTCATAGCGCTGGAACAGCTCGCATTGACCGACATCGTGCAATTGCTTGCAGAACTTGCAGCGACGGCGGCAGTAGTGAACGGAGTGGTTCGCACCACCGCAGGCTGCACAAGGTCCATACGAAGGGCGTTCACGGGAGTCACTGCGCCGCCCAGTCTGGTCACGCCGACCGTATCCTCGACTGGCGCGGTCAGCCGAGCTCGGCTGACCTCTTCGGTGATCACACCTTGGTGTCCCAGCTGAATTCCCTCGGTCCCCCGATCTACGGTCGCGTCGCTGGTGAACCCGGTGTCGATGTAATCGTCTTCCGAGTCTACAGCCGAGTCGGAGTAGCTCAGCTGGCTGCCGTCGCTCCGATCGCTATCCAAGTCGTAGAGGTTGGATCGCCGATTGAATTGGCGTCTCTCGGCCAGCTCGTACGGGTCGTCCTCCAGCAGCGCTGTCGCTAGTCGGTGGTCTCGACCATCGTCGCGTCGGCTTCGTCGGTCATCTCGGCGCGGCTCACTCCGCCGAGCTTCCGAGTGCCTTGGCGAATCGGTGCGCTTGGCTTCTCGGCTGCGGCTTCCGATCAGACGGTCGCGCTGTTTCTTCCGGCGCTTCCCCAGGATCTTCTGGTTGATGATCTTCTCGACCTTCTTGATGTCGGTGAGCTGCTGCGGATAGTGCAGATCCATGACGTCATCATCTCCGCAATGCAACAGGAAGTGTTCCATATGGTCAGCAGCGACCGCCCACCGGCTTCTTACTGGATTTTTGCCGACTTCGCATATCCGTTGAGACGAATGACGAAGTCACACACCAGCTCGTTGTCCTTGCGCTGAGCCGAGTAATAGCGAGCTCGTGCGGACTGGTCAAACTGCGAACAGTAGTAGTCGGCGAATGCCTCACTCAGCAGACTCCACTTCCGTTGCGTCTTCTTCGGGAGTTGGCGATGCCAGCCCTTCGCGCCTCGCTCCAGCTTCAGCGAGAATGGCTCGTACCAGAGGTCTTGCGCTAGCCGAGTTCCTTGCATCTCGTAGATGAATCGCTTCAGCCACTGGAGAGACTCATCCGGTCGGTAACGTTTGCCTTCGAACATTGGGATCTTGTCGAGGGACGCATGGGTGCGAACCTCCAGGTACTGCGTCCGATCGCTTTCAGCGTCATCGAAGCTAAGGTGCTTGATGACGTCCTTCACCGACTCTTTAGCCGAGTTCAGGTACTCGCGTCCATCGTCGCTGTCGCTGAGCTCGGCTGCATCTGCAGCGCCAAACAACTCAGCGTAGCGTCCACTTGGTTGCTTGCCACGCGTTGGCGTCTTCATATGCGAATCTTCAAAATACGGTGTACCCTCAGTCGAGCGGAACACATCGGCTCTCTTGCGTTCGAGAGTCTTCGGTAGGGGAATCCTGCTGGGGTCTTCGACGGTCTTCGGAGTATCAGCCACTCGTTTCGCAATAGTCTGCCGAGTTCCGACAGCCCCCCGCTCGAGGCCAAACGAGACTCTCAACCGACGCTTCCACTTTAGGATTTCGCGTGAAGCTCGGCTGGGGTCCCAATCGCCGAGTAGCAGGCTGTTGGGTCGGCTCGTGCACCGGAACCCCATCGCCTTGAGTAGCAACACCGTGTCTTCGACCAGTTGGTTGATGTCGGTGCTGTTCACCGGCTGAGTCAGCTCGGGCCCCAGCACCGGCCATCTCGCCTGAGCCATCGCCACTGGAGCAAACATCATCATCCACTCGCTCTGAGCTCGCATCTCTTCTCCGAGCCTGCCCAGAACCTTGTTCGCAGTTGGCGTATCCGCATTCCTCGTCGCTCGCGGGATCAGGGGCGGACGTTCCCCTTGAGCGGCGGCTTGATCTTCGTCGTCCGTATCATTGCCGAGCTCGGCCGCCAGGTTGCGCACAACTGGACGTGGGGTACCCATTCGTCCGACTTGCAGCGACAACTCGTCGACTTCGCCGAGTAGCTCGGCTTTCTCCTCATACTCATCCTCAACATCTTCCTCACTTTCTTGGTCTTGGGCATCCTCCTCATCGAACTGGACGGTGCGCGCCTCGTCCGCCGTCGCGTCCGTGATCATCGCATTCGCCGAGTCCGCCGAGTTGGTCAGTCCAACCGAGTTACTTCCAACCGTCGCTGGACTCGGCGTAACAATTCCCTTGACCATCTTCACACTCTCTTCTCTTCTCTTCTTCTCAAACCATGGTTAGCTGGTACCTACGAAACACAAGAACACCCCTGTTCCCGGGTCGCGGCACCAGTTCTGGTATAGCAGTACACACAAAATCGTCAGTTGTGGTAACTTGGCTACAAACACAACAATAGCCGAGCTGGTCGGCTTTGTTGGCCTGCGCCGGGTTGCCCCCGAGCGGTTCGGCCCAACCGGGACAGCGGGTGTCTCGCCTTTCGTCGAGACCTGCCAACCAAGATCACCCCTCCAGAGAGCTGCCGAGTTCGACGGCCTCTGTTCACTCAACCCTGTGCCCTCCACCAAAGGATGGACGACGGCGCACGGAGCGCTTTTACAGGTCGCCGAGAGCAAAGGCTTCTCGACTCAGCAATCAGTACCCGGGACGTACGGGAACACCAGCTCGCAGCGGTGGCGAGACTTTTCCTTCGCGCTTGGCGAGACACGCGCCCAACCCGGGCCGACCTTAATCTCTTGGCGCTGCCAGCCGAGTACCCTACAAGCTATGCCTCTCGGGTACCGGCAGCAGACATAATCCGGCCCCGTGCAGGGACTTACCGGAACGTGTACACGTGTTGTGGACCTAGAAAATTCTGCTCTGTTGTTTGTTATCTCTATTGGGCGCCCTGAAGGGGCGCCTCCACTATTCCTAAGTTCCTATACAAATACCAAATGAAAGTGGGCGGTTTTGGATCTCGGCCGACTCTTCGCTGAGCTCGGCGACGCTTGAGCTCGGCTGGTCCGGATAAGCTATCCGGATAACCCTTCGAGCTCGGCTGAGCCGGATAAGGTGTCCGGATAAGCTGGTGAACTCAGCTGAGCTCGGCTACCGGTACAGTGTACCACTCCAGCCGAGTTGGTCGCGCGAAATCTGGTGTTTCCTACACCACAACTATGCTGTCTCGATGTTTGTCAGCCGCTACGCGCTCCTGTAAACAGTGAATTTGTGAAAAAGGCGCAAAAAAATGTGAGGAAACGTGAGACCATGGAGCCATATACTGGTGTTTTTCGGCGCACGAATGGAAGGTCATGCGTTCATGATCTGATTGAAATCGTGAAGTCCGAACGCCAAAAGAAGCTCCTGCTCGAACATTGTCATGTGCACTGGCGTACTTTAAGAGGCAGAGATAGCGAGCGCGAGCCAAGAATATTGGAGCCAGCATCTCTTCGCACCACAAAGAAGGCCAGGCGTAGCAAAGCAGGGCCTCACAAGAAGAGCCACGATGAGTCTGGCACTGCTCGAGACATCCTACGCTTGCCGAACGTGTGGATTTGAACCATCCAGCACCGCCGCCCCGGTCGTTAACTCCTGCTGGCCGACGTTTAACCTGAACTGACTTTTCTAACACACCACTAGTCCCGCTACTACCGTCGCTTAACACCGTGTTGGTCAGACAAGCGCAAAACCAAGACTCGCAAGCACTCGGCAACACAGCTTTGGTTTCTCAGACCCAAGATTCGAGCGCGCGCAGTTTCGACGACACAGCTTCAGCTCAACAAGCACTAGATCTACGTGTACAGATTCCATAATTCTTCGACTACAATCCGCCAAGAGCTTGGGGATACGCAGGAAACAGGCCATTCTAGATGATAAAAAAGGTCCTGTGCCACACAGCGGTCCATAACAATACATAGGAGTGCATAAACCACTATTTTAGCTGCAAAGTTTAAAATGGACTTTCATTTTACCCCAGCGTTTTCGTAATTTCCACGTTGTCGTTATTTTTCAACGTCATAGTGCCTGGTGTATGATAGTACCTGGTGCTTCATCAGCTTAACCCCTTGAACGCGGAGGGGTGACAAGGACGTGATAAGAAAACGCCTTATGCTGTTCTGAAATATACGATAAAGTACGATATAGTTTATTCTTGTCAAGTTTTGCCCTTTTTGCGCGCGAGTTGTTGCTAAGCTCCTCGATAATAATTCCCGCAAAGATGATGTGCACTGAAACACGCTCGTATAAGCCAATCCCAGCAACTTCTAGATCGTGATATTTGTGAATTCGGGGGGCAGGAAAGCATAGAGCGTGTTGCTCGCCATTGCGTTCTGCACGCAGTCAGGCAAAGTCAAGAGCGACAATGCGCCGGCGGCAGGAGGCGAACATCTCCTGTGTTCGCAAATGTCATGAAGGGACTAACTGAAATGAATCCAAGTGCATTGTCTGGTTTACTCAGCTCACTACTCGACCGCTAAACCTCTGTCTCTGATGTGGCTTGCTGCTGGCGCAAATTCACCATACTCCCAAACAATGTGCCAGATCTGCGAGCACTTGAACCCTTCGTTCTGTGGGTGGCCTTGTACCTTGTTGCACAATGTAACGAGCCCTCGCTTACCCTCTGAACAAGTACGTTGATGTGCACCCTCTTTTTTTTCTTCCGGCTTGTACCGTGCATCGCCTTTGTCGAAGGCGCTGGACGCCGTTGCTCAAACGCGCATCGGTTGGCTGCGTGAGAGCGTGCTCGACTTGCGTTGCAGTAGGCTGCTCAGCTGCGCCTTGGTCTGTGGATGATGCTCGCGCTCGCGTGAAGCTTTCTTCCGTCTCCTCTACCAGCTCCTTGTGAAGTTGCGCTAGGAACTCGAACTGGGAGTTCTTCTTTGGCTTTTTCTCCCACACATGACGGTGAATAATGTAGGCGTTGACCAACGCCATGTCGAGCAGGCCGCGAAAGAGCCCCTTGTAGTACTTGTTGAACCTGTTGAACGGAACATCATAAGTTAGTAAAAGTATACACTTCATGTCAGCTTATCAGTGATACCTGATAGACCTCTGCATCGAGTATGCTTGGAGACGCAGTTGATCGTGTCGAACTGCACCCTCCATGTAGCGCTGATACACGGCGACGAGGCCAGGACACGGCACATTGCTGGGAGTTCCGGATCGTTCTCTCCGCCGAACCGTTGTTAATTCTGCCACCACTTGTGACGATAGGAAGTACACGATCGTGTTGCCGGCCCACATTGTCGCTACGAGCCCTGGGTTCGACTTCGCCACTGCCATCTTGAACGAGCCACGAGGGGCTCTTGCCTGGCGCTTCTTTTTGGGGTAGTTTAGAGCTTCACACCAACCTTTCCGGTCGGTTTGAATTGCTCCCACGTAGTTGAACCCCATGGTTCGGAGCTGTTGCGCCAGCGGGATCGACGTGTAGTACCTGTCGGCGATGACAAGCCGGCGCCTTTCGTAGGGAAGGGCTAGAAACACATGCAATGTTACGAATGACAGCTGCAGGACCGTTCTTGGTGTCCATCGCTTAGAGCCTTCCGTGTCACCAGATCTACCAACGTCCAGCTCGACTCTAATTGAAGTGCCACAAACATATCAGGTGAGGATATCAGTCTATAATAATGCACAACATGTCAGCACACACACCTCTTGCAGTATCCAGTCTCGGCACAGCATGTCATCACGCACTTCGAGCCCCAGTGGTGGGGTTTGTCCTTCATGAATGTCCTTGTCGGATTGCGCCGATTGTGGGAGGGCAACACGCCTTCATCAATCGAAATACGTGATCCCAGCACATAACTTTCTTTGAATGTCTTCTCCAGTGTCTCTAGCATCGACTGGATCTTCCAGGCTCTATCCGTGGCTGCAGCGGGCTTGGTGTTATCCGTAAAGTGGATGAACCGGGCGATTTCGCGGAATCGGTCCCTTGACATGAATCTCCCAAACGTGCCAACAGGAAGGACGCCAAGTTCCCTCGTACCCCAGTGCTGGTCCATCTGCTTGCACGCGACTCAGCGCATGAGCGAGGATCAAACCAACCCATTGTACAACTTCGTGTGGGGAAATCTTCTGAAATTTCTCAAGGTTGCTTCGCAACTTCGCACAACTACGCTGGCGCCGATTCGCCACCAATTGCTTCTTCTCTTCCGTCTTCCGCAGCCGTGCCTCAAACGTTTGCCTCCAGTACAGGTTCGTCTGCGCTGCAATCTTCCTCCAAAAGGTTTTCGGTAGGGAGTAGTAGAAGAACTTGAATGGCGACTTCGATGCCTCCATGATGTTGCGGGATGGTCCGCAGTAGCCGTCGTACATCTTGTTGACGATGGGATCGTCTGTAATCTCAGGATTTCTGTTGTCTTCCAATACCTCCCAGCCGGAAAGCTTCATTGCGTCGAGTTGAGCGTCGTTGTAGACTTCGGATGACTGTCAGCATAATACAATAGTTAGTTGGCGATCGATTCAGCGTAAACAGAGTTGACAATGTATTCTCACCTTGAATGCTCATGTGCAAACGCTCGAGTTCGTCACTACTCATCAGCGCCCTCAGACGACTCACTTCGCGTTGCAAACAGTCTGTTTTGCATGGATCACTTATCCACATCACTAACATCACTGGAAGCCTCGGCGGAGTCTTCATCGCACTCTCCGTTCGGGTCAAGCCCGTTGTCGCCACTGGGCTCGACAAGGTTGGGGTCCAAGACATCAGTGTAGTCAAAGCGTAGCGGAGACGTCCCGCTTTGATCTCGCAGAACAAAGCGCGTGGTATCGTCACAAACGACGTGCGCGTCGGCATCCTTCGTTTCTCCATCCCTTGCAGTGCTGGTAGAATTACCGACGTCATCGTCATCGTCTTGGTCGGGATCGTAGGCTTCGTCCTGAGAATCTGCCGTCACGTCTGCCTCGCTGGCGTCGCTAAGATCGCCGGCACTTTCTTCATGCAGCCCCTCCGCGTCTACGTTTGTCGCTGCCGATGGAATGGAGCCAACTTCCATGCCAGCATTCACGGCCACGGTTGTACGGGGCCAGCTTCCATGTCAGCATTCGCGGCCACGGTTGTAGCATTCGCGTCAGCAACAGTAGCGGCTGTAGCGTCTGTGCCGGCATTAGAGTTCGTAGCAACACCATGTTTGTGTTGCTGGTGGTTTGGCCTGCTTAATATACAAAATATAAGCATTTCTAGTCAGTATAAGATCAGAGTAAACAACAGCATACCATCAAACGGTATACCTTCTGAAGCGGCACCAGAAGCAGCATGCAGAGGCGTTGACGTTGTCGATGGCGGCTCTACCGCGTTTACGTCGGTGTCTGTATCCCATTTATTCTAGGCAACGTTAAAGGGTAATCCAAACATCAATAGAGCAAACGCCATACCGGTGCTGTTGTGGTGGACCCATACCTTATCGAAGGCGGCGAGCTCTCGGCGCCGCTGCATGGCTTTCTCGTTTAGCTGGTTCTTCGTCTTCTTCTTCGGCGCCTTGGCAGCTGAGCGACTAGACGTCTGCGCAGACTCCGTCGATTTCTTTGGTCGCTTAGCAGGACGGGGATTGCTCGGTGCCTTGCGCCCAGGTGGCTCGGGTTGTGCAGGTGGCTCTAGGATCACGGTGCTGGGAACTGTATCGAAACAAGTCAAATCATAAATAATGTGTCGTACAACTGAATACAATATGAATGCATATACTTGTGTTTTGATCGGAGCGCACCATGACGTTCGCGATGTTGAGTCTAGAGCACCGCTCCTTGTCGGAGCGCACATAGGCCATCAACTCGTCCTCGCCGTTGAAGAAGTCCTCGCCTTGTTTACCTCCTCTCCGTTTGCGCCCTGGTTTGATGTAGTTGTGGCTAATCAGCACAATAACCGCATACAAACCAAAGCGAGCATACGTTAGAGCATTCTACAAGCCACACTGGTCGTACTGGATTTGGATCCCGTTTCAGTGCCTCTAGTCGGATCCCAAGCCGGGCCGCGCGGTTGTCGCCGCTGCTCAAAGGACAGGCGAGACCAGCCGCGGGTCCATCGGGGATCTTGAGAAGTAAGGTATCCATGACCTCGTTTGGGCTTGACCTAATGAGCGAGATACCCCACTTCCGGCGTAGATAGTAGGACTAGTTTTGGCTTTTCCGCTTCTCCTTCTTTTCAGCAGCTCGCTTCTTGATAGACCGCTTGTCGCACTTGAACTTCTTGATCTAGTGGCGCTTCAACGCGTATGGAGTAGCGAACTCCTTCTTACATTTTGAGCAGCGCGCACTTGCCGCGCTGCCACGCTGGTCCTGCCTCCCTGGCATCGGAATCTGATTTGTCCTGAGCCAACTACCTTAGGCCCGACCAAAATTTAGTGTGAGTCAATTTTTGGGTCCACTTACTCTATTGCCTATTTTATGGTACCTCGAGCTCTGGAAACTTAAGCTCCGTAGTTTTTCCCGTGTACTCTGTCACACAGTAGCCCGAGTTTTCCTAACCACTCGCCGAATGGCATACGGCGGTCAACTGGAGAACGCGTGAAAAACACATAGCAAATCAAGGAACCTTCTAACAAAGCATTCTTGGGGTTGCACCCCAGACCCTGCAGTAGAAAAACTAACTTCGAGTTGCGGCAATGGGTCCATTAGCTCGAATGCTCGTCGCTGGACCCGCCTTCGCAAATATCGCGTGGCCCAACTCCTCTCCTCGCACCTGCCTTCTGATACGTGTTTTACACTTTTTGTTTTATTAATATCACAAATAGTTTTTTTTACTTTTCGGGAAAATCCCAGAATGTGACGAAAATTTGTGCAAAAGGTGATACTGAATGATTATCAACCAGGACCCTTAGTGGGTCCGAGACCTGGTCTCGCACAATCTCCCTTGCACGAAGACCTGGGAGAAATAACTGATAGCTGGTACGCAGCTCCGTTTTACATAATCACCTGGATTTACATGTCGAGTGCATTGTGGTTTATCCGTGTCAAACTCCCATTTTTCTTCGTCAGTGAGTGCGGTGTTGGGGTCGTCTTTGAGTGTCTGGGGGCAGCAGCTACGGCCCCACAACTGTCACTAGCGGTGATGTACGTCTGGAGGCTTTTATGTGTTCCCATCATGCAGAGTGTCGTGGTGATTAACGAATCGTAGGGGGCAGCAGTGAGCTGTTCAAGCTACTAAAAGAGCTACGGAAAGCGAGAAGAGCAGGAGAAGCACCTCGAGGGGCTCTTTGCTACTGACCAGAAAGATCAGGCACAAGAGCGGAGACGAGGAGACGGACGACGATGAAGTGGCAAACCGCGGGGAGATTGTGCGCTCCGTGAATGCTAAGCTGGAGAGGCATATTTCTTGTTCGTAAGTCGCACACGAGTAGCGGAAGGTAAGCCAAGGTAAGCGCAAGGAAGGCATCGAGCGGCTGGCTGAGGATGTGGGATAGCATAGTGCACGTATTGTCATATCCACGGCTGCATGATAAAGCTTGACTCAAGAGGTAGTATGGTGTTTTGCAATTCTCTATCTGGCGCGTGTAACGTGGAGTGCTGGTGATGCACTCGTCGAGCTTGAGAATTTCATTGCGGTGTATTAAAAACAATTAAAACAAAAACTGCAGCAGATAGTAAAGAGGCCTCGTGCACGCAGTTCGCTCTTTCAGTCGAGCAGTAACTACTCATTTCTGCTGCATTGTTGCTGACAAAATGAATATGTATTGAAAGCACCGCTTAAGAGGGTCGACGATCTAACCCTGCAATTGTTTGGCTACGCTCAAGAGATTGCTGTGGCCATGCAGGCGAAAGCCTGCTGTGAAGTTCATTGCGGTAAGCGGAGGCTTTCGTGACATTGAACCCCGACGCGATCCACGACGCATTATCCTGCTGTATGGAAGCAGGTTTTTCTTCGGCAACACGCTTTGAAATCACCTCCATGTAGTAGAGCACGTAAATTCCACATTCCACCATGTTCGACTGTTGGGGGGTTGTGTCAAACGCGAAGGCGCTTGACGCAAAAGCAGTGGACTCTGACCCTATTGTTTGTCGTGAACTTTTGCCAAGAACCACTCTAGCACGTCAAACGCGTAAGCAGAACTATGAGCCTTTCTTAGCGAGTTCACATGGTAAAGCTTCGTGGGCTCGGCGGTCGTGAAGTTCTCAACGATAACCAGGCTCCAGTGATTGCGTCCAGACACAGGCAGAAGTACATAGCGATAGGTACTCCAGTCGAACTGCTCTGCCAACTCTTCGAACAACCGCAGTTTCAAGCGTGGGTTTCGGGTGTACCTTGCAATTTCTATCAGTCCGTAGAGCTCAGACCCACAGCAGCAAACCACGCCTTGCTCTCTCGCCATGAACCGGTAAATGAAAGAGTCCAAAGCCGATTGTGTCAACGGACGCTCTGGTAACAGACTGTCCAAATCGTGCGGGTATACATGAACGACGCGCTCTGCTTGGGGGGCTTTCCACACGACCAGCGGGGTATTTTCTGACGACCGCGGTCTGAAAAACTTGTTCGGGGCGGCACGCTTGGTTTCATGCTTAGGCTGGCTTAGCACGACAAATTCGGCATCATCGTCGCTTGTTGCCCCTCCAGCATTCTCCTCCTCGCTGTTCGCGCTATCAGATTCATGGCCTTTGCTGCTCAGCTTGCTGTCTAACTCGCTGTCCGACGCACTGCTCAAGCTGTCAACGCTGTCGCCGTCGCTGCTGGCATCACCAGATCTTTCACCCGCGCTTGTGGTGCTCTGATCGACATCGCTCTGACTGGTAGCGTTCTTGCCGTTGGTGCTTGCAGCATCCTCACTGCCTCCTTTGCTGCAGGACCTGAAACCAGCATTTCCACCTGAGTTACTTGCACTTCTAGCAGTAATCCCGTCGCACGTTATCTCTGAGTTGGCACTAGCCCGGTCGTCCCCCGTGACGACAGCTGCACTAATACTTGCCACACGCTTCTTCTTTAGCGTTGGGCGTTGGCCTGTGGTTTTCTTGCAAGCGTTGTATTTGTGGTTGACGAAGACAACCAGCGGGTGTTTGATCGCCAGTTGACGGTGACATGTCCACAGCTACAACACCCTCTCCGGTTGCAATTTCTGTGTTCTGATCAAGCCAAGGCCGTTGAGCAGTGGTGGATTCGGCGGGCAAAAAAAAATCCTCAGGGGCCCTGGTCGCTTGTCGTACTCCATCAACGTGGCGAGATCGCGCTGGGCCCAACCAGTACAAATGGCTCAAACGTCTTGAACTGACGACGCTGTAGTTGTCTCGGTGGTGGTACATAGCTTCAAAATCGGGGTCGGATCGAATAGCTCTGCGAACATAGTTACGAAGCGTGGTGTCTGCGGAGGTGACGCTGGCGAGCGTTTCTTGCACATCGCTCGAGGCCTCGGCATCGGTGTACAACGCCATCTGCGTTGAAGCTGCTCTTAGATGTTGTGCGGTATACCTCGCAATTACTTCAACTCGCCCTCGCTCGACGGTAGGCATGCCGACAGCTATCTAGGCCCCCATGCACTCCACAACTGCGGCCGAGCGTGCCACAACTTGGTCAAAGTCCCCTGGTCGGATTGCATACCCAAGGGAAGTGATCTCGGAGCAGCAAGTCCGCTTGAAACTCATCAAATTCGCGGAGTCGCGATCGGGGATGCTGGTCGATATGTAACACTGCATGTCATCTCCGTCGTTACTTCTTCGTGCACTTCCTCCGGGGTGGTTACATCTGCTGGAACCATTCTTCGATACCGAGTCCGGTCTTGACGACCGTCGGCTATCCCCGTCGTGTTTCCGTCCAGCGAGAAGCATGTGTCCAGATTGTCGAGCATGTACTTCCTCCGGGTATCAGGGCGCTCGCCTAGTCAGCAGTTTCGCAAGCCCCTACCTGCACGAGATCGTAACCAGTTATATGCAGCTTTGTTGACCCCGGAATCGTCTTGAGCAGCTTGTTCGCGTGCAAAGCGTGCGGCGCTGGAAGAGGCGACGTCTGAGCCATGGTCACTAGCGTAGACCCAAAACCCTCTGTGACACCTCATCCGGAGCGCGATGGCTTTAAGTTTTGCGGCAGACGGATAATTTGGCGCTGAGATCGGTCGATTCCCCGCGTCTTGTCGTGGCGCGTGCCCCAACCATCCCTATTTTGCTATCGCAATGTCACATTGCACCAAGTGCCGCGATGACACGCTGGCGTAGCTACCGCAAAGCATTGTTGCACTATCTACCACAGCGGTACAGTACAGTACCTACCACAAAGGTACACGGCGGCTGTTACCGCAAAACTTCTCTTCGGTACATACCGCAACAGCTCGCTGCGGTACCGCACATCGTCACTGAGGTACCGCACATTGATACCGCAGTAAGTTGCGATACAGTCGTTTTCGTAATTTATACAGTGCTCTCACCGGTGTATCCGGCATTTTGTTCGCTGCCACTACCAGCCAACTGTAAACCTAGTTCATGCGCAACCTGGTCTACATGTTGAGATAACTAGTTGAGCGACTTGTGACGGGTTGGTCGAATCGCTTCAACGTCTGCGAGAGGTTGATCAATAGCTTCGCTACCGTGTATCCCATTCTTCTCGCGATATACAGCAGCCTTTTTCATTACCAGATCAATCACCTTGCGTTGTCGATTGAAGAAACGCCTTTCATGGCTATCACACCCTTTCGTGCCAAACTTTTCTTCAAGGTGTTTAACCGCGTAACCACCTGGAAGTCCGTACAACCACTCGTTCCACAACTCGCGGACCGTTTGAATACCACGGCTAAGCTTGTAGCTTACAACGTCTGAGGAGCTGTCAGCCTCGGCGACGGTCTCGCTGCTTAAGGGTATATCAGCGGTTGGCTTCTCCAGCTGGCCCCACCAACAATTTTAACTTGGAGAAGCGCCGACCCATTGCTTAGTGGAGAAAGTATTTTGACGACATCAGCAAGAGTTCTTTGAACACCTTCCAGACTTGTTTGAATGCCGTTTACTGGTGCTTTGAGTTCCTGGTAAACGCCATCAAGCTTTGCTTTTACCGCGGGCATTGCTATTTCCAGTTTTCTCTCACTTGGATCATCAACGGAACTCATAGCAGCCTTTACATCTCTCTTGAATCTCTGAAACGATTCACTGTTGAAAATCGCATGATTCCATATTGGACGCCCCGGCATTTGATCAGCCAAAACAACCGCGTCTTGGAGTATCACAACCCGAAGATATTGCAACAGTTCGAGAAATCCACCACCAGCGATAGACCGTTCACACTCCCCAGCATGCATCTTTGCCCAATCTTCTATCGATGGGAAAAGCTTCTGCTGAAGATCTCGCGGTGGTTCTACACAGGCTCGAGGTATAAAATAACTTCTTCGGGTAGGCTCAAAACCTGCCAAAGTGCGCATCGCTTCTCGTGGGAGTGACGTGAGGTAGCATTTTCCATGGCCTGGCTGTTCTACCTCCCCAATCGGCGAATTTGGGCCTCACTGCCCCCCCCCCCCCGAGGTCCGCCCTCCTAGCACCGGAGCCTCTCCCTACATGCGTTTTAGCGCGACTGCGAAGACCAATGTTCTCCATAGCACTAGCAATGGCTTCTCGGTGAACTTTATACGACATCGGTTTTGTTGGACCTTTCCCCGTTTTGAGCAGATTCACGGGATACCATTGTTCTGACTTCGAAAAATCGGGAAAACACTCCAAATCGACATGCCACTGCCAGAAAATATAAAACCCAAGTAGGCCGTGGGGGCATATATCGACATTCTTGTTCCTCATACATGCGCCTACTTCGATCCGCCCCACTTGGTTCGTCTTGCCTTGCCTCATAACCATCACCAAGGCTCGACATGCCGAATAGCCTTCATTTTCCAGTGGAATTGAGTGGAGAGCCGCTAATTCCATAAGACGGGCCAATTCACCACGTATAAGCGCAAAATGGGACAGCAAAAATACCAGCAAATTTCTTGAACTTATTCCAGAATCTCTCCGTGATGTCCAAAAAAGCGAGATTTTTCTGGATCTGCCCAGTGGTCGTATAGCCGTCCAGCACCGCGATCGGTGAAGTTTTTCCGGCGCCGGTCATCCTCTTCATACTCCGTATTTTTTAGAAGCGTAGTGACAGCATCATCCCGTAGAGAAGGGTAGTTATTAAGCTTCAAGCATTTTTGCTGCCGCCACAAGTCTACCATAGCAGTAACGTAGCTGTTAACGGAAGACTCGCCATTTTTTTACATCTCCCCTCGCGGCCTTTGCGACGCTTTTCTCGCCCAATGACGCACTCTTCGAGAAAAAGATGAACCTTGGGTCCAGTGACCGTGTGTCGAGTGAGGTCGTTGAAAGCCGCGCCCACCATTGCTTGAACTCGTGTTGCTTGTTCGTGTACGCCCGGGAAGTGTTTTGCGGGCGAATATTCGATGCCTTCGAGTACGTACGAAGCACCGATTCCACTAGCTGGACACTCATTCGCGTTTCTTCTGCCATATTGTCTGCAGTGGTGCTCTCGTGCGATGCTAGTGCGGCCTGGTTTCTTAATTCTCCCTTGCTCCCGAGGAACGGTTGTGTTCAGTTCGCCACATACCACCCACATTTATTGTATTTTTTATCCAATAAGAGCGCAGAAGACACGTCGGCAAATAATTTCGTTATTTGACGGATTTCAGGGCAGATAAACTTGGTTATGTACCCTCTGTAGCGTATCCTGTTAAGGACCGCGCCCGGACCCCGGTGTTGATAAAGATCTGTATCAAAAGCATACCTACCAGACTAAGCAGCATTCCCTAGGCCATTGGGCCGAGATATGTATTGTTATCAGGAGTAAGGCAGCTATGCCGTCGGCAAATGCATCATGCAGCGCAGGCAGAGTCGCGCAAGCGACGCAGAAGGCGACCATACTCATACAGGTCAACTATCATCAAGGGCGATGCCTACACTGGCACCGGCTGGCCACGTTTACCCAGTGCTATACTCGCACAATTGATGCATCAGCGACGCGCATGGCATTCGCGGGCTGCCTGCTATCGACGGTCAAATGCTCTTGGCACACATCCTTGTCTCACCACTCAAGCTACTGAATTGAGCAAAAATATTAGAACAAATTCAACGAACTCAGGTAGGTTGTTTCCCTCGGCGGCCTAGCAGCTATCCTACGATTACCAACTCAAAAATTAGATTCCATGCAAGTGTGATTTATTCAAGAATAGCAAAGGCTGGATAGTTAAAATTTCTTTTAACCTTAGATTTTACGGACATTGGGATTTATCTGGTCCTGACAATCAGACCAATGCTAGCAATACAAAACAATGATCATTTTGGTTATAGAGGAGAGAAACACTTATTTTGCACCGTTCTACTAAAATAAAACCATCAACAAAATACACTCTGTTTAATC